TCTCCTCACATGGAGAGGCTGGTGTTGTTGGTGAACGTGGTTAAGAAGTCTTGTGACAGTTAATTTTAGAATTGAGTCAGAGGGACAGTCTTAACCTCAGAGATTTGTTTTGATTTTGCTGGTAATAACCCATAAGAGAAATCCAAGCAGCAAAATACTATTAAAGCACCATTTATACTACAGAAACCAAGTCAAAGTGTTACAACTGAGTTAGCATGGTTATCTGGTTTCCTCCTCACTGAAGCCCATATCAGTGTGGAAGGAAGGCTCCCCTCACAGTGGAAGAGATAAACTGAGAATCATTTCTCCAGTCAAATCCTTTTCTCAGGCTTCACAGACTTCAACATTTCTGCGTCAGGAAAACTTTTGTTTTGTTTTCTGCAAACAATGAGGAAAAACAACAGTCCACAGAGCTTTCCAGATAAGAGCAGCCAGACCTTATATGCAGTACTAGCCAGGAGGCCCGCTACGGTCGTGTATGTGTGTGTGTGTGTGTGTGTTTGTGTGTGTGTGTGTGTGTGTGTGTGTGTGTGTGTGTGTGTGTGTGTGTGTGTGTGTGTGTGTGTATGTGTGTGTGTCTATCTTGTAGTCATATACATTAATGTAATCCAATTTATACAGTTATACCATAATTGCAAGGCCATGACGGGTCCCAAGGTGCATCTCTGATATACTGTATTTTAGGATAGGATAGCCTGTATTTGTGGCTGTGTGAGTTGTGTAAAGAAGAAGAGAGGATGTGATATTAGCATATCCTCCCACACTGTATGTATTCAGCCCCTCCTGGAGACCCCTAGGGGTTTGTGAGATACTTCGGCAGTGGTGGGAGGTTATGGCAGGAATGTGCTGGGAATGTGATGTCGTTCTAAGAAATGTCTGTATATGACATTGACCAGATGTTAGCGTGATCTTCAGTTTTCCTTAACATGGTAGGAAAGATACATCTAGCTGTTGAAGATGTAGAGCACTCCAGTGATGGGAACGTTTTCACCACCAGGTGGTTACAATCAGCACTGCTGCAGGACCTTTCATGAAAACTTTTTTTGTATACCAAATAGATGCAGCAGGCTGACATTTGTCAGAGTGGTGTAATTGTTTCACAGAAGACAAAAACTTAAAACTTGCTCACACACTTGCCATGTTATGAGTTGAATGAAATGGGTCTACATGAGGGTTGGATTTGCCCTCTTTGGCAAGAAGAGTGGAGACAGTGAGTCATATAAGCTGAAGGACAAAGTGAATGAATTTATCCTGTGGGCTGCAAATAAAACCACCCTATTTTTTTTTGTTTGTTTCGTTAAATCCAATTGCCTTCCCCATCCATTATTTACGCATGTACAAAATGTAGTTAAGATGACTCAAGTCTCTTGAAGGATATTTCATGAGAAGTAAAAAGAGAGAGGTACTGCTTTGATTTGTTTTGGAAACAAATATTTCCCTTAAGGCCCCATAGTTTACGTACCATCCTTAATATAGTAGAGTCTAATCATAAGTAAGGCTCATGGTAGACTCCTGTGATGTGTGCAAAGGCCAAGTGTTTGCACATACAGTAGGTCGTTTTAATTTGTTATCAGAGCATTGGTCTGATTGCCGTATTATCTTTTTCTAAATACATTACCCACCTTAGTACCTAGAGTAAGGTAAGGTTAATAACTGCACAATGTTGAATTTCTAGTAGCTTAAGTAGTGACTTATAAGGCCCAATCCATACAAGCTATTGTGTAACAGGCAGTGCTTGCGTCAGCCACGAAGGTGCTGCTATAGTCCTTTTTAGGATACTCTGCACCCTCAACGTTGGTTTGTTGGAGTGTTTGTGCTAATGTCTCTTGCTGGCCGGATCCCGTAATCTGGGGAGAAAACATGACTCATCACTTCCTCTCTCCTTGGCTCATCCTATGTATCTGATGATGTCAGACATATCGAGTAAGTGTTGTTGAAACACCAGGCCTTTTGGGATGTGTCTTGAACTGAAGAAACCTCCAGCATCTCTGACACACCAGACACTGAGACACCTGTGTACTGCCTCTGTGCACCATGCCACACATCTCTGAATTTCCATGGCGCTGTGGCCTTGTATCTAAAAACACTTTGCAAAGACTGGAAACAGCTACAGTATATGAGTGCAGTCCATTTACAGTTCACACCAGCCCCTTCCTCCTCTTTTGTTTGAATGTTCTATCCAGCTACAGTAAACACTCACAGACACACTGTCATATACGCACAATTATGATGAGCCATTGTTTTGCGCAGTGCCCAGGAAACGTAAATACTCTGCCAGCTCACGTCATATTGATTTTTTACAGTTTAGAAACATGCAGGCCTTCCATCCAGACTCGGGAAGGACATAAACACTTGTCGAGAGACACATGGGGCTGTCTGCTGAGATTTGCTGGGCTGATACATTTTCTCGAGAGCTCAGTGACTCATTGCCAGCCACTGTATATTCACACTCTAACACTCTGCTGTATCTCAGGCTTCTGCTCAGCTTGTTTGCTCTGTGGAAGATCACACGGGCACACCACATACTCCGCTGATGCACCTAAAGTATAAGCAAAAATTACATTTTTGGAGCATTGGAGGAGTTAATTAGATATTTAATGTACTTATGGATATTTAATTAAAGAAAAGTATGAATGGAAACTAAGTAGTTATTATATATATAATATGGGGTAAGTATAGTTAAAAGATAATCAATTGATTAAAACGAGATCTACTAAAAGGCCTTTCAACAGCGTTAACAAGAATAGTGGTGGCTTTTTATCTCAGGCTTGTGTGTAAACTGGTTAGTCTCATCCTCCAATCAAATATCTCATCATCAGATGCACCCGGGCATCTGTAGGATAAGGTCCTCCTCAGATCCCTTTTTCTTGCAAAGCCCAGATACCAAATCACACATCTTCTCTATAGCTTCAAGACTCATTAGCACGATGTTCTTATTGTGCCGATGTCAGATGTCTTTGTGCCACCTTTACCATTGAATGTTTGGGTTTATGGCGGTGCACAACGGACGTAAAAGGAAAACAAACAGGAGAATCCAGAGAGACACCGCTCTGAACTACCCGCTGCCCGCAGATTACTGAGCTCTGTTTGGAGATCCAGCATTAGACATCACAGTGTTGTGGCTTTTTATCACACTCGAGTGCACACAGTCTTCATCATTGTGCGTGTCAGCTTGATGCTTAGGTCATGCCTTCTAACATACAGGAATGTCTGCTCATTTAAGTTGCTCCTTAAAATTGGTGGAGAAAACTGAAGAGACTACAATTCAGAGCAACAGGTGACTGAGGCAATGCTTCAACACGAGCAGCTGTGATTAACTTGAACGGTGCTGACAATATGCGAGTGTTACCTCATTGCATTAGCTTGCTTGAACTCCCCTCGGTGAATTGTAAAAAAAAAAACAATCACGTTAATCCAGCAACAGGAGCCCTTATTGCTGCGTGCCAGGTTTGCCACATGTGCTTCATTCTGAGTTAATCTTCCTCTTCCTCTGTTTGATTTATGACACTAATCTGATCTGAAGCAGGTGTTCGTTAGGTTTTATTTAAGTGGCATAACAGAAATGAATCCTGTGAAACAAAAACACACCTTATGAACCAGAGGTGGAGAGGTGAGATGGAGAGAGTTTTGAGGTGTTTGTAGGCCACACATGAGTTATAAATACTGCAGTAAAGGAGAACAAGTGCACTTTGACAGGGTGGGGGCTGTTGAGGCTGAACGTCCTGGTCTGTTTTCTTGTATTTTCCCATGGTTTTAGAGCCACATATTGATTCAGTTATCAGGTTTGAGAGGATTGTGCGTAAGAAGAAAGGATGTTTTAGGACTTGGACAGAAGTTGCATTACATAAAGTGTAGATTTAAGAAACAATCATTTGTCAGGTTTAGAAAGTTGGGAACGGATCACAATGATTGGTAATGGAAAGCTATTTTGTTGTTGTGTGTGTGAGAACGAGAGGCAGCCTGAGAGAAATATTTGTGGGTGGTGTAGCTGTACACTCTCTGACCAAAGCCCTGACAGACTTTTGGCTGGAGGCCTTCCACGTGAGTCGAGCAACAGCTGGATGATGGAGGGAAGAGGAGCAATGGAAATAAAGCCAAGGCAGTGCAGGTCAGTTCCCAGGCTCGATCCTCTGGAGACCCCAGAAGAGAGGAAGCAGGGCGGGGTTAGTGGGGGACTGAAAGGGCTGAGAACAGCTGCACTGATGTTCTGCCTGCATGTCATTTTAATAGTCTAATCTATTAAGAAAATAAATCCTTTCTCCATTGTCTGAGATAAATCAAGTTAAAGCTGCTGCACAGATTACTTCATATTTTTACATTAACAATGGATCAAATGACTAAGTGGATGTGAACTTGGCTGCTTGTAGTGACAAACCCACAGAGAATTTTCACACCACCCTGCAGTTTTCTTTAGCTCTATGGGGCATTTGAGCATCTTTCAGTACATCTTTTAAGTTTTCATGCTGGTAACTAAGCTGTTTTGGCCCACTCGGTGCATAGCAACCCTTTTCAACTAAAACAAGTGAATATTTATCCACCAGGTGGCGAGACAAACTACAGCTGGGTAACGCTGCCCCAAAGTGGCCAAAGAAAAAAAGGAAAATGATACTTGTGTAAAATGCAATTCAGAGCATTCTTTTCTTTTTTTTAAATAAAATATTGTGATTCATAAATGCTTATCTTTGATGGATCAAAAGGCTTGCATGAAAACACTCGTTGTCTGGCAGCTCACTTTGGTAATGCACAGTGTCAGTAGGGATGTCTATGAGATAGTGGACAGAGGCAGGACACAAGCTGCCATTAAAAAATGAAAAGTTTCTAACGCTGTTTACACATCTGATGGATGACATTTAAAAACCCTCAGCAGATGTCTTTTCTAACCGAACCCAGTTCTCTCTCACTGTGTTTATTTTCTTGTTTTGTTGAACCCAAACCAATGCTCCCTTGTTTTGCCTTTCAAGTGATGGATCATTAATTTTTACATTTCTTCTCACCCTCAGGGCTGCGGGGCTTCATGTGGAAAATGTGACTGCAGTGGTGTGAAAGGAGCAAAGGTGAGATTTTCTTTTATCACTGTCAATCAATCCACGTGTGTTCTCTCCCCATTTATTTGATTGCAGGCCGCCATGTTAGTAGGCAGTTAATGCAAAGTTCATAGCGGGCCAAAGCAGCCGCGACAGTACCTCCTATGTTCTGAGAAATGGGGTCAGCTCAGTGAGACGGACTGGACCTGGGCCCGGGTGGAAAAGCAGTCACGGAGCGGAGACCAGGATGGGAACAAAGATCAGTTTGAATTAGAGCATGTCCGGACACACAGCTGGGCTGAAGTTCCTATTTCCAACAGAGGGAGGTTCTCATACGAGTGTATGACACTAGCCGTGAACTGGCACCGAGCCTCTGAGCTGTCAGCACTCTAGCATGAGCTGATCACTGACCTGAAGCATGAAAAGTTGGTATTAACTGACTTGGGAAAGGTGTTTTTTGCGGATCTTTTTTATTTTTCACTATTTGGAAGTTCGACTCTTTTCTCAAATCCTAAAAAAATAGTACATAGACATTCAAGAAATTACTATAAAAGGCCAAAACTAACAATAAAGTCATCCTCCTAACAAGTAATGCATTTAAACATTTATTTTGAGTCCACATACAATTAGGCTTTTGCTATAGCAAAAGCCTAATTGTATGTGGACTCAAAATAAATGTTTTATATAAATTACTAAATAAATTCTAACTTTATAAACTGCAATTTTGTACACATGATCTTTCAACTCACATGCTTGAATGTTAACTGTTTAAAGTAAAGATAATGATTGACGTGATTATGGATGATTAAAAGGATACAAACCAGAAAAACATATTCAAGCCAAATAAAATATTTTTAAAAAAGTAAGGTAAATAAAAATGTGTTGTAAGTTAAACAAGCTCTTTAAGATTAAATTAAAGACAGATACATGTTCGGTTAACTTATCTACAAACAGGAGAAATATGCAATATGTAGTGAGGGGTTACATTTAAACATTGCTTTGTTTCCACAAGCCAAGAAAATAACCACTGTTTAAAAGTGGATTTATTTTCACTGCTTCTGCTACTTTTGGCTCAGTTATATCAGACGTCTGCAGAGTGTTTTCTATTCTCTTATTGCATCGGTCTGGCTTTTTTTGGCTGAGTCTTACAGCAACAGTAGCCAAACATTCAGCTACCCAGACAACAACAGATGTGGACTGTGGATTCAAAGAACTTCTTTGTTTTGAAGATCAGAGAGGTAAAAAACAGCCTTTCTAAAATCTCATGTGAGCTTTATTTCCAATGATATGACTTCCTTAGAAACAACAGGATTTGCTTTGGTAAAGCTATTGATGATCCTCATGTTTCAAATGGTGGGCGTCAAATGTGTTGTGGTCGGGGAATGCAAATTGATCCAAAAGGTTTCAGCATGTTACTCATCACTCCCTCAGCAGAGAAAGATCACTGGATTATGAAACTTGTTCACAGAGAAATGCCCCCATCCAGTGGCAGACAGTGGAAACAACATTCAGCAGTCGGTCTCTTCAAAGGACACACATGAGGATTATTTGTAACCAAATCATCCTTTTATTGGATTAGAACATTGTGCACAAAAAATGATGTGGCTTGATTATGAACTAAAATGCAACTAAGTCTGTTTATAATGTAAAAATATGGTTCATTATTGGCTGATTTTGGAAGGAGGGTTAAAAAAAGGGAATTAAACATTATTTGAATGTTTGTTTTGAACTAAACAAGAACTCATAAATACCATTTCACAATTCATTTTGTATCTTTCTAAAACATTCTTATTTTCATGCAAACTTTATGGCAATGAAGGATGAAATCATAACATCTTTGGTCAAACAATCCCTGTAAACCAAAGTTGATGAAATTCACAATTTTGAATGAAATCTAATGGCCCCTAAAGTTTTAGAATTTACTTACGATTCAAGATCTGTAATTATTCCTGTAATTTATTTAAGAGCAGTGTGTGGCATTTAAGGGAATTTATTGGCAGATATGGAATATAAAAGTCACTATAATATTTGTTTAATCACCTGGAACAAAGAATGTTTCTGTTTTCATTATTTTAAACATGTTTAGCCCAGAATGGACAAAAAAGGTATGGTGTGAGCAGAGGGGTATTTTGTTTGCAATCTGCAACCTCACCACTAGATGCCACTAAATCCTGCAAACCTGTAAATCCATTATTGATTGTATTTATTAGTGTAACTACAGCAACACATTATACAACTTAGTCTTAGACTTGGCATTGTGTTATAGAATCCTGTAATAAATCTAATCTCAATTCAAATAAAAATATGTATTCTTGTATAATTAACACAAAGTTCTATGCTTCACAGGGTGAGCGTGGATTCAATGGTCTTCAGGGTAATATGGGATTTCCAGGGATGCATGGACCTGAAGGTCCTCCTGGACAAATGGGCACAACGGTCAGTACACACACACAGAATAAATGTTTAACCGTAAAACCTTACCTGACCAAATTGTTCTCCCCCAGTCAACATGTCTATCATTGTAAACTCATTTTACACACATTTCTCAATTAAGATTAAAAACATGTTTTTCTCTATTATAATGATCCTGATTTGTTTCTGTTAGGGCACTTTTGGTGAATCTGGAGCTCCCGGGCTGAAAGGAGTGAGGGTGAGTAACTAACCAACATAATTATGACATACAGTATGATTTCATACAGTATATAAGACAGACTTCTATTCCACAAATTATTGGTTATGTTTTGTCATGACTCAGCAACGCTGATATGGTTGTCATCCTGCAGGGTCCTCCTGGTCTGCCAGGTTTCCCAGGAAACCCCGGACTACCGGTAAGTTCCTTTGATCTGTGTCACATCCTGCAATGTGACAGTACGGTCAAATCACCCACATTAACTTAAAAGTAATACCTCTAAATAGCATGGTTTAGGCTTTTTAGGCTACATTGTACTGTTGGGTGGTGTCTGTGGGGAGTTTAGTTGTTCAGAGATAGACTAGTTGGGAAGCTGTGGAGACTATATCACTAAATGTAAACTGTTTTAAATTGTGTATTTGTGCACTCCTGTTCTCAGGGCATTAACGGAAATGACGGTGGACCCGGTTCGCAAGGTATCCCAGGATGCAATGGGACCAAAGTAAGCCACTACAAACAATTATACTTTGTTTTGAATCGGATCTGTTCACTGTTTGAACCTTCTGACTTGGTGTTTTGTGTTTCAGGGAGATAGAGGACTGGATGGCACCTCTGGTTTTCCCGGTCTTCAAGGACCTCCCGTAAGCAAACTTGATTCTCTTAACAACCAACCACCAATTGACCAGCAAATATTTCAGTTATTGCCCCTCTCCTGTGTAAAATATACGAAACCCATCAGAATTTTCAATAAAGCTGCATAAATATTGTTTTGGCAAATGTATCAGAAGATGTATAGTTACATAACTATATTAATCTCTTCTCAGGGCATCTCAGGAATTCCTGGAATGAAGGTCAGCTTTGATTTGTGAATTGTTAAGTTTTTTTATATCTAAATGTTTCCCATCTACAACTTCAAAACCATGTATCTTCTCTCCTACAGGGTGACCCTGGTGGTGTGATCGGGATTATTCCCTTGAGAGGAGACAAAGGATTTGCTGGCACACCTGGACTACCTGTAAGTTAGTTTGTGTGTGTTTTTGCTGTCTGTCGCAAGAAAATGAGAAAGACTGAGACAGTGTTATTTGAGTTTCCATTTAAACCCATGCGGTTCCCAAACTCGTCTTTTTCTCCCAGGGAACAAGTGGATTTCCTGGACCAGTTGGACCTCCCGGACGAACAGGCTTTCATGGACCCAAAGTGAGTCAAAGTTACGGAATATCGGGTATACAGAGACCCATGATTACCTTTAAAAATAATACTACTCTGTATTGGAAAGAGCACAAAAAATGAAGTTGAATCTGTGTAGATTTCTAAATGTGCATATAATGGTGGCTGATGAATTTATCAGTGTGTTTACTAATTATGTTTCTGTTTACAGGGAGATTCTGGCCCCCCTGGCCCTCCTGGAGAGAAGGTAAGAGTAATCAATACAATTATTTTACACTTGTAAAAAATATCCACCCTTTAATGACTTTTATCTCCCAGGTGAGATCTTATAGGAACTGTTTTTTACCTCCCTGTAGGGTGACAAGCTGGCCTTTGTGAGTGAGAAAGGAGAGAAGGTGAGAATTTCTCTTTTTTTTAAAGTTGTCTGCAAAAAAGCTACTCTTCTTATGGGATGCTTTCACTGTCTACACAGCTTCAGGGGCACTTTACGGTTCAGAAATAAAACATTAACAATGGAGTAATGTCTGGGCTACCTTGTGTTTTCAGGAAAAAATACTTGCATTTAAAATATGTTATTCATTTAATAATTAACCTGATTATTTTGAGGTTATCTAATTTTTATATTTTACCTTTGAATAGCAAATATATTACAATCTCTTACCTTGATATTACTGTATTATAAAGTGGTAATAAGGTTGCTCCTGCTACTGTATACATGCTGGGTAAAACATACATATTTTGAGACAAGGGACATGTTGGGGGTTTGTGATTTTTTTTTTTAATGCTGTCTTGTAATAACTATTTAATCAAATGAGGATTTCAATAGGTTTGTTAATGTCTACCGGGAATTTATATTTATTTCACGAGTTTAATTTGGTTTTCACAAAATGACTAGCCTATTTCAATTCAATTTTGTGAATAATGGTTAATGTATTATTACTTTAAACATGTATTTGGTTTTGGAAGTTGTGGTGATCATTGCCGTCTGTGTGCAGGGTGATCCAGGATTTCGTGGCCCCCCCGGCCCTCCTGGGACAACACTGGGAGTGGAAGGAGGACGTCCCACAGTGCATGTACCTGGACCACAGGTACTCACTCAGCCCTTTCAAAACTGAATACAAATGTAGCTTTTTCGTGGATGAATAAAGCACGATTGCTACACGTTTGATGATTCGGATTTTGTGATCTTTTCTGAGTGTGTTTATGTTTGTTATTCCTAAAGGGTGAAAGAGGACTTAAGGGAGACCAAGGAGACAAAGTAAGTTATTTGCATTCAAATGTTGTGGTTTTATGCTTTACTGTGCACAGAGGCTGTTTGTTATCTTTAGGTCAAACTTTTCTACTTTTTTGAAACTTCTGATTCATTTGCTTTGCAGGGCTTTTGCGTCCCTCATCTATATGGTATCAAAGGTGAAGTTGGCCCTCCTGGATCAAGAGTAAGTTGCAAAAATCTCTCTCTATGGGATGGTTAAATGTTTTAATACATTTTTGAAAAAAAGTATGTGAAAACTTAACCCATTAAAGTAAGTGTTCCTGCCATTTTAGGGAAAATTTGGCAAGGATGGGGATGATGGGTCGAAGGTAAATATAACTTACTGTATTATCACCTATTGGCCTCCACCATCCAACTCTTGTTTGCTTTTGTTTTATATTTGAAATATTCATTGCTAAACTACCAACATACTTTAATACAGGGAGAAAAAGGCTTTCCTGGAACTGCTGGATTCACTGGTTCCCAGGTAACTACTGCAACTTTCACGTACTTTGCAGATATTCAAGTCCAGTACTTGAAATTTCCTGAAGTCATCCTAAATACTAAACTCTCTCTTGTTTCAGGGTGAAAAGGGAGAAAAAGGACCGCCAGGATATGTAAGTCTTGAAACTACCAGCAGATGTCACCAGATTTTTATTTAGTTAAATGTGAGACCATGTTAAAGGGACAATAGACTGATTTTACCGGTTTATAATATCTTCCATGACTAGTTTGAGAAAAGTGCATCGGATAACTTTGCGTAAGTTAGACCTGAAGCTTCTATAAAGGACACCTGTTGTTGGTATTACACAAATCACTTTTAACAGAAACAACAATTACACAGATGGTATATGCTGTATATGACATGGTTTTATATTAAATGCCTTCACATTTTAATAGCATTACATTTACATTGGCAGCGATTCTCAAAAGGTGCGACTTAAAGAACAAGTTAAAACCCAAAATGTTGTTTTTAGTTGACCACTAGTAGTTTATTTTTTAACTCTGTAACAGTGATTTTGAATTGTACTCAAGGATTTCGCAGCGCTCTGTGACATCACTGTCGAGGGTGGCTAAGGGTGCACCAGAGGACACATCTTACCAAACACATACACGTCCTTCAGTGATGTTTGGTGGTCTCAGAGGGGCAAAGTGTGTTCAACTAAATATAGCGATAAGTAAAACACTACTTTCATCCTGGTGTTAAGTTTATTCCTTACAGTCAGGATTTATTTGTCTTTTCTATTTCTATTTTTACTTCTTTAATAGAGCACAATTCTAAAATGCCTTTAAATAAGAGTAAAATTACAATAGTGTGTTGTGACTGTAGTTTGTGATTGTGTTCTTCAGTTGTTCAAATAAAAGAATATCTATATTTTCTATTGTGTGTGCATTCCAAGGATAATGACAGGTAAGAAATTAACCGTTCTTAGTTTAGGTAGATTGGTGTACAAAACATAATTTTAATCAACGGCCATGCATCCTTAATGTTTGTTATTATGTCATTTCAGGGTAATGGTGCCCCTGGTCCTCCCGGCCCAAGTGGTAACCCAGGGTTCCAAGGAGTAAAAGGTAATGTAAGGCCATGGTATGCCCCAGTTATTCATACGAATAAACACCTACCTTGGATCAGTTTACATGTTATGATATTTCTTTTTCATTTTGGTTTCCTCTTTATCCACAGGTTTTCCTGGTCCTCAGGGAGAGGCAGGTCCTGCAGGTACAATGACATTATATTTCTATATGATATAAAAACTTTGAATTAAGGCTTAATATGTCAGTGAGACACACGCTAACCTGGATAACAACCTAACTGGCTCCGATGACTTTTACTTCAGGCCGGCACATTGAGGGGCCTCGCGGAGAGACGGGACAGAAAGGACACTTTGGAGAGAAAGGAGACAGGGGACTGGATGGAGAGTCTCTCGTTGGACCTCCGGGACAACCGGGAAACCCTGGACTCCCTGGACCAGCTGGACCACCACGTATGCCTTATTTTTGAACATAACAATCTTTTCAATAATTGACAACAATAGTGTTAACCTACAAATGTTTTTATAACCTAATGTGTCTACACAGTTGACCCTAATGAATGCAACAATGAGAAAGGAGCTCCTGGCCCAGCTGGATCTCCAGGCTTACAAGGAGAATTAGGACAGAAAGGTAGGAATCTCAACAGTAAATGCTCATCAATACAGGACATCAATAAATGAAAAGATTAAAATTCAGTTTCTTTCTTTAAGGTGTTGTTGTACCTTAGTGGCCGAATGTACTACTTCTGCAGTTAGACTACTTTTCTAGGCACATTTGCATCATAGTTATCTTTAAACTGATGTTTCTCCTTTCAGGTGACATAGGAGATACCTGTGTTCAATGTGAAGGTTCCGGCCCACCTGGATTACCTGGTCCACACGGCCCTAAAGGAGATGGGGGTGAGTGAATTTGGTCACATTGAAAATAAACGGCGGGGTCTAGCAAAAAATGTATTGGGGCCGTGAGCTTAAAGGTGGGGTAGGTAATTCACTTCAGAAACACTTTTTGCTATATTCCATGGAATGCTCTTAACATCCCGATAGCAATGAATACATTAAATGTTTTGACAATAAATACATAAAAAAATGTCATCTGTGTAAGCCGTAGTACTGTAAGCCGGCCCGGCTAAAATAACTGGATGGCCTACCTGCCTGTCAGCCTTCCATCTCGTGCACAAACTTATCTCGTGCCCTCATTGGTCATGTGCACGTTCGTGTGTGTTGGAGGAGGGGCTCTGTAAGGAAGTGTGAAGGAAGGGGCAGATTTTTTTCAGCTGCGTACTTTCAAATTCTAGCGCACTCAAGCTGGTTTCTCCATTCTACCTTTAATATGATTATTTCCATGGCCATCTGAGGACTTGGGACCACAGCTTGTTTCATTGTACAAATCTTTAATGATTGGATATTTTTCTGTGTTTTGACATGCACAAGGTGGGGGGACTGCACTTTATATTAACAAAAGTTACAAAAGTAGATCTGTCAGTAATATGTCTTTCGCTATAGACAACATTATGGAATGCATAACAGTAGAAATTGAAATGAAAACATCTAAAAACCTTCTGTTCGTGTATAGAAAACCAGGATCATGTATTGACACATTTGAGAAAAAGCTAGCTGAACTTTATAACGACACAAGCAGCAAGAAAATGCTCTTTGTATGTGGAGATTTTAACATTGATTTGCTGAACCCACAAGAACACAATGCAACTACAGAATTTATTAATTCTATGTATAGCAACAGTTTATATCCTACAATCACACGACCAACCAGAATAACATCACACAGTGCTACACTCATTGACAACATATTCACAAATGTTATGGATAGGAAAGTAATAAGTGGAATATTAATCAATGATACAAGTGATAACCTGCCAGTCTTTGCAACAATACAGAACTGTACTAGGATCAAAAAAGACACCACAAAAGTCACAATTACAAGACACAAAACACCAGAGTCTGTTCATTCTTTTAAAGAAGAAGTATCTAAACAAGACTGGAACAAAGTGTATGTACCAGATGCAAATGAAGCCTATGAATCATTTCTACATATTCTATCAGGGCTGTATGAAAAACATTGTCCTCGTGTAAAGAAAATAGTGAAACAAAAATATGCTGAAAAACCATGGATCACTAAGGGAATATTAAATGCATGTAAAACGAAAAATGAATTATATAAAGACTTCTTAAAGAATGGATCAGTAGAGGCTGAACAAAAATACAAGACATACAAAAACAAACTAACAAAGATAATACGATGTAGCAAAATGGATCATTACAACAAATTATTGGAGGATAACAAAAATAACATTAAAAACACATGGAATGTATTAAACACCATTATTAAAAAAGGAAATGGAAAGGCACAATACCCAAACAATTTTCTGTCAAAAAACGATTTCAATAAGTACTTTGTCAATGTTGGTCCTTGTCTAGCTGGGGAAATTCCAAATACTGGTTGTAGTGATGGTGTTGAAAGTAAATATGTATATGTGAAGGAAACTATATTCTTAAGAGGGACTGATGAAAATGAAATTATTGACACAGTTAAAAAACTTAAGAGTAAAAGGTCTACAGACTGTCATGATATTGACATGTATACAGTTAAAAACATTATTGAATGTATAGCCAAACCACTAACTCACATCTGTAATCAGTCAATACAAACCGGTGTATTTCCAAATAAAATGAAAACTGCTAAAGTCATACCAATACATAAATCTGGAGATAAACATGTACTGTCAAACTATAGACCAATTTCATTGCTCTCACAGTTTTCTAAAATACTGGAAAAAATGTACTATACAAGACTAAATGACTTCATCACCAAACATAACATACTCTATGAACAACAATATGGTTTCAGAGCAAACAGAACTACATCATTTGCAGTTATAGAATTGATGGAACACATTTCTAAGGCAATAGAAAAGAAAGAATATGCAATAGGGATATTTCTGGACCTTAAAAAAGCATTTGACACGGTTGACCATGAATTATTAATTAAAAAACTACAGAGATATGGCATTAGAGGTGTTGCACTATCATGGCTATCCAGCTACCTTACAAAACAGGTACTACGTTGAACTACAAAGCCATAAATCACAACTACTGCAGGTCACATGTGGGGTGCCTCAGGGCTCAGTCTTGGGGCCATTACTATTTATTCTGTATATTAACAATATATGTGAAGTATCAAAAACTATTAAAACCATTCTTTTTGCAGACGACACAAGTCTACTCTGCTGTGGGGACGATTTAGAACAGCTATTGATCACAATGGAGAAGGAACTGAGCAGGATGAAGATCTGGTTTGACCAAAATAAATTAACATTGAACGCAAGCAAAACCAAACTCATAATATTTGGGAATCGATCGACCAATACAGAGAAGAAACTCACTATAAATGGCGTCCAATTAGAAAGAGTATCGGAAAAAAAATTCCTTGGAGTAATCATAGACAATAAATTAAGTTGGAAACCACAAATATCAAAGCCAAAATATCCAAATCAATAGCAATTCTGAATAAAGCCAAATACCTAATAAATCAAGCTTCCTTGTTTATGCTGTACTGCTCCTTCATACTTCCATACATGATGGTATTGTGTGGAAGTTTGGGGGAACACATATAAAACAAATACACATCCTATCTTCATCCTGCAAAAAAGAGCCATACGAGTTATACATAAAACTAGGTACAGATAACCAACAAATAAATTGTTCATCAAACTAAAAACAGTAAAATTACAAGACCTGGTTGACTATAAAACTATTCAAATTATCTTCAAAGCCGCAAATCAACAATTACCTCATAATATCCAGGGACTTTTCACACAGAGAGAAAGCATGCACATGTTGAGAGGAAACTGCATTTTCAAAAAACCACCCGTACGAACAAATGCCAAACTTCCTTGCATCTCATCAAAAGGTGTTAGTCTGTGGAACAACTGTAATGATGCAATGAAATATTGTACAAGTCTATCTAAACTGAAAGTATTATTTAGGAGCCAAATCATTAATGGTTATGAACAGGACCTGTAAAATCCCAATTTGTAAAATTTGTTGTAAAAGTAATTTCTTTCTGATTGTTTTGTAAAAAAACAAAAAGCAAACAAATTAACAAGACAAACTTGTCGCTGATGACGTTGACCTAATATTTTATTTATAAGAAAAATATATGCTAGATGGGGTAGGACCAGAAACGTTTTTTTAAGCTTCTTCTTGCCCCTGTTGAACATGACAGACTATTTGAGGATTATTATTGTTTTCTTTTCTTTTTTTGTTATTATTTTCTTTTTGTACTTTGTTATAATTATTAATTTCAGTGAGAAAAGAAAAGGGGAAAAAGAAAAAGAAAATAATAACAAAAAAAGAAAAGAAAACAATAATAATCCTCAANTAGTCTAACAATTGCTTTGCCTGGCCTAAAGGTAGGTAAAGCCGATAGTCTAATGCAATTGCTTTCCTCTAGGGCAAAGGAGTCTCTTTCTAAAAATTAGTAATAAAAACGTAAATTTACAACTACGATAAAGGATACCAAGGAATGTTACGTTGTATAAGCGCTTTATACGCCTTTCAACGCTTATACGCTCTATACGCCCCCTTTCTTTGTTAAAAAAAATTTATAACCCGACAGATAAAATAAGAGAGAGTGTGTGTTGGACGTGATGCAATTTGGGAAAATGTAAGTAATTTGGTAAGTCACAAATAAAACATTTGTTCAAACCCTATAAAATTAGAGGTGGGGGGGGGTGTGGTGTGCGGTGTGTGTCGAAGAGGCGGAGTAAAGACAAAAGTAATGAGCAAGCAATAGCACTGGTCGACAGTTAGAACATCCGATGAGTGAAGCAAAGAACATCGGGACAAGAAGGTAAAAACAGTAGAGTCACTGCTGTTAGGGTCTCAGACTCACAGGCACACATGCAGAGATCCAGGGTGATGCACATGGCTTTTCTACCCAGCAATAAGTCTCTGAAACCTGGGGAAAAGTGGTGTGAATAGAGGCAGAGCGCAGCCAGAGAGGATCGGTCTGCAAGACCCACAGAGCACACCCAGAGGACAGGCTGCTTCATCTCACTTTATTACCCAGGAAAGGAGCTGGAATCCTGGGTACAAGAGTGTTAAAAGTGCATTAAACTGTTTTAATTTAACAGCCGGCGCTTCACAGCACTTTACAAGCCAGGAAAAGTGATTGAATCCTGGATATACATGTTTTAAATAGTCTGATATCTCCAGGGCGCATCACTGCATTTTACAAGCCAGGGAAGGTGCCTGAATCCTGGGTAAACATTGTTTAATTGTTTAAGTGTTTTTAAATGTGTGGAACAGTGTTTTGTCACTTTCAAAACTCTCCAATCATTGACCGGAGAAATTGGGTCGGTGTTGTATTCAATCTGACCGTTATTATTCCAGTGAGACGAAGTACGTACAATGATCGGAGTGATCCCATGTTAATTTTGTCCCAAAACCGGAGCATTCCCTCACCCAAATTAAGGCCGTCACGGATGTTGACTGCAGCCCAATAACCAAAATAGTTCTCTATCTGTGTTTTTAATTTCTGTTTTACTTTAAATGTATGCACCATGACACCAAGTGAAATTCCTCGTACATGTCAACCTACCTGGTAATAAACCTGATTCAGATTCTGATAAGAAGGCATCAGGGAGAGAAGGGCTTATAGAAAAAAAAAAGTATTTGAATACCACGTCTCCTTAC